GTGTGATATTTGAAAGTAAGTGAGATTGAGTTCATTACTCTAGGGCATCACATCTGAGGGCCTGTTTTCTGCTAGATCCAAGGAAGCATTTTCAACAGTCATTTGATATTGATGTGGAGAGCTTAGTATGCTTATGTCCCCCATTCTGAGCCTAGCTGCTCGGGCACCACTGTCTACCAATGCCCCATGCCAAATATCCCAGCTGAGGAGAGTAGAGGTATAAACTGCTCTTAAATGCATAGACATGTTCTAGGCCTAGTGACATAGATCAGAGTACTTTTCTGTGGGCATTAAATATCACTTGCTTTTCAACTGGGGATGTGAGGATGGCAGTGCAGTATGCAGAAACAGAGTCACAAGACAGTAACCAAGAGCAGAAAACATAGCTCATAGCAAATCCAATTTAGGGAAAGGAGTTGCGGCTACTGGAGCATTGCAACTACTCAACTAATGTGCTAGTTGAAACTAGCCAGCTTAGCAGAAACCAGAGATTGGGTCAGGGATCTTCATGGTCTCAATGGATCAATTCCACAAAAAACAGTAATTTACTTAGCTCCAGATATTTTATCTAAGACAAAGTGTAGCAGAATACACCCACTTTATTTGATACACATGGATTATGTTTTAAGTGCTACAATATATCCATATTACCTTGCATTGTGAAGCTGTTTATTCCTTTTTGAGGAAGACCTGGAGTTTTGCTGCTGGCGTACCACATGGGCAACACCGACATTTAGGGGCTGTGCAGCTAAAGTCACATGGCCAGCCAACAAAGATGGCTGTTGCACAATGGCATTGTATTGGCTTCCATGGGAATGTGCATTTCTGAGAATAAAGAGGAAAAACAATATAAATGAAAACAGCAAACAATTAACATTCAAGAAACAAAGATAATTGAACTGTTACCCTAAAACTGGGATTTAGAAAGACAGGTGACAACTATAAATTAAACCCTCACTGATGATATACTTTGTTGCAGTATTTTCAAAAATTACTTTGAAGCTTAAAAGAATCCAATTAAGTTACAATGTACAACTGTGAAAATAAAATAAGCTACACAATTTTGCTCAACTTTCAAGTTTTTATTCTGCACTACAGTGAACCTAAAAATATCTTTTATATTTATTTCCACTCACTCCCAATAATCTTAAATTTATGACACTTAAAAGGTGCATAGTTATCTCAGCTGCTGTTTTAGATCCCTGCTACTAAGAAGTAATATAAGACAACACTGGATTCACTCTACAGCATATGCTATGATTATGTTACCGGACTAATAGAGGCTTGGACTAATGATCCGGAGACAGAAGTTCAAATTCTGGAATAAAAAGCTAACATCAGTAATGGTTACCTCAAAACTAGCAGATTGTCATAAAAATCTATCTGGTTCATTGCATGCCCCTTAAAGGAACTAGGTCAGCTGCCTTTGGTCAGTCTGGACTGACAGCAATGTGGTTAGCTCTAAAGTGGCCTCTAAAATGGCTTAAGAAGCCATTCAGCTCCATTTGAGAAGGTGGCTCATCTTCAATAGCAATCAAGCACAGGGAATACATACTGGCTTTTTCAACAAAGCTCTTAAGTCTGTGAAAAACGAATTAAAAGATTTTACAGTATAATTCTAGGAAAATGCACTCGTGTAATTTCTAATTCTGTTAACTTTAAACTAGAGTATCTCAGAACATTTGATAATTAATAAGCAATCAAGGTATCAATTTTAACTCCTACCCAAATCAATCAAATGCTCTAATTTGAAAGTTTATACAGCTTGTTTTTATTGCTCAAGTGTACTTTCCTTTGCACACAATTTATGAAAGATGTAATGAAAAAATTATTAACATGTCTGATTTATTGCAAGTCACCATACAAGCAAGATAACCTCACTTGGGGAATTTCTACAAACAGAAATTTTAGAAAAAGCACCAGTTAGCATTAAACACATCTAAGATTTAGATTTTTTAAACATTGATTTGGTTTTTTAAAGTTTTTTCTTCAAAAATAGCACAATTTCATTGGAGTGATAATGCTATTGGTATGTTATTCAAGTGTCACCCCATCCCAGGACATGCCTTCCTTGTAAAGGGGTTAAAATGCAAAGAATAAGGGTAGAAAAAGAAAAATGCTTATTTCCTTAAAGAATACTTGCCTCCAATCTGTTATTTGCTGGGTACTAGTCATAGCATCTGGTATCACAGTAGCATGTGGAACTGAATTGTGAACAGCAACTCCAGGCAACTGCTGCCAAGTTGATGGCAACAGGATTTGCTGGGTTCCTCCAGGCCACGCCTGCTGCAAACAAAGACAGACTGTCAAGGTTGCCACTGCATGGAACATTAGCCCAAAAGTTTGCAGACACCCGAAAAGAACATAAAGCATCTAGCTGAAGACCGCACACAGCTGGCAAGAGAAGCACAATGGTAAAACAAAGATCTGTGATGTTAGATTTACACAACGCCTCCCTCCAAAGCCAATACCTGCACAGGACAAGGCATTACAGTTTAATGAGAGAAAGAGAAAGTGAGTATATCCAATATCTCGCAGCTCTGAAGCAGAAACAAACATTTGGATATTCTGTGCGACGAGCCATTCTGCAGGAATACAAACACACAGACACAGCGATCTCTTCTAAGCAGGCTCATGCCAAGCAGCAAGGGGAAAAGGGAGCGAACATTCTAACCAACCTTTGATCTGAGATAGCAAAATGCACGTGGTCACTGGAAGCGACTGCAGAAGTTGGATGAGCCATTTAAAAAAATAAACATGCTACTAATGTTTAATTAAAGACCACAAAAATTATTTAGCAATCTTACAATCACCTAAGTGTTTTGATAATTGTTGAGAGCAACCTACATAATTAATTTTCCTAAATAAACTAGCGGATCCCCAATGGCATTGTAGGATATGCCTTCTATAACAAAAGGAGTTAGTCTCAAAAAACGGGTGTATAACAAATGTTACAGGAAGTAATTCTGAGAATCACAAGAAATGCACATTTACGCATAGTGTCATGCTATGCAATGAAACGATCAGGGACAATTTTAGATATCAAATGCATAGCTTATGGTTCCCCTAACCTTCTAATTTAAATATGACTTCATATATAAAGATTAGATGAGGGGAAAAAAAAACATGAAACATCTATTCAAGCCACAGAGTAATAAGAAATAAGTACCCAATTACTTCCAAACCCATGATTAATGATTCTGTTGATTTGGATCCTTGCAATGTGCTCCCCAAATCTTTCTTGCCAATTCCCACCATTAAGTTATTAGAACTTGGTATTTAAGGAAAAAAAAAGTTTTTTTAAAAACAAAAACAAAACCAATTGCTAATGGGCTGTAGTTTACTAGCTGTAATACTTTACTTATTTTTAATCAAAGGATAGTTTAACGGGGACAAGTTCAGAGCTTTTTTCAAAGGAAATTACATTAGCGTTTGAATATATTAATAGCATCTGACGGTCAGCTGTAATAGCAGGTTCTGCCTGTTATTAAAAGGCCATTTGGGGCAGTAATCAGGCAGGATGGAAGTTAGTGACCTTTTTTAAAGATCAAAGGTACCCATGCAGAGATTAGTGTGATCACTCACATCCCTGCAATCTCAATTTAAATCCATCATTTTACATATTAAATTCCTATAAATTTTAAAGAAAACAAAAATGCTAATTAATTTTTGCAGTCTTCACTATAAATTTGCTCAAATGTTAATTAGTTCAGATTCTGAGTCAATTTTTTAATCTGACCACGTCACCAGTCATTGACTGCTTGTGAAAAAAAAATGTCAGTTTAAATCCAATGGACTCAGGATTCCTAAAAGGCTCTAATCTGGTTGCTATTGTCCAGCAAAACTCCTGTTTCAGAAAAGTCAAGAATGAAAGAACCATAAATCAAGTCTTCAGCATCAAGGCAAGACAAATAGTGCACTACAGTTCCAATAATAGCACATGCTAAACTTCTAACTTTCACAATGAAATGTTCACAGTGCAGGTCAACTTTGAAATTCTGGTTAAGATGGCAATGTTTTCCATCGATTCATGTGTGTAAACTTTTGGACTGAACCAGGTGAGAAGAGGAGGAAGGAGGATGTAATGGCGGGAAGAGTGTTTCACAGAAATGTATCATCACCAATATCCAATAGCAACCCACAATGGATTCATATGGATTTTGCAGCTAGTCCCAGCTTAGCATCAAATACATTTTGATTACTTATTTATCTAGTATATTCATAACTCATCCTCTTCACATATCTTTGTCTTCATGAATGCAGACACAGCTCTTAAGATAGGATAACTGAACTACACTTAAATGTGTAAGAATCTTGACCAATACATTACAAAACTTAAAAGCAGAATTATACTCTACTGTTATAACTATTATCCCAACATTCAATTTCAAAAGCTTCTATAAATAGAAGTCCAAGGTCTACTCTCAAATCTCTTCCAAGTCTTATACTAGCTGGCTAGGGAAGCATCATCGGCTTCTAGCAGTTTGTCTCTATTCACAAAATGCTATATTGTAAAAATTATAATGGAGTAGAAAAACTGAGACATGAGAGGAATTTTAATTATATAATTTAAAACACAGAAAACAAGTCAGAAGTTGCTGGAAAAGCTCAGCAGGTTTGGCAGCATCTGTGAAGAGAAATCAGAGTTAATGTTTTACGTCCGGTGACCCTTTCTCAGAACTACCACCATGCCCAATACGTTAACTCTGATTTCTCTTCACAGATGCTGCCAGACCTGCTGAGCTTTTCCAGCAACTTCTGTTATTTTTTTCCTGATTTACAGCATCGGCAGCTCTTTCGACTTTTGCAGAAAACAAGTCATTCAGTCCAACTGGTTTTTAACAACAATTTATACTCCACATAAGACTCTTCTCACCCCTCAATCTAAGAAACTGTCAACACATCAACCTATTCCTTTCTACCTCACGTGCTTATCCAGATTTCCCATAGGTTTTGAACAATATTGGGGGGGGAGATGGTGGTGGTGGTGGGGGGAACATACCATAAGCTGTGCCAACTCTCGATCCACTGATAAAATTGTTTGGTTCCATCTGGCAGAATCCATAGAACGGCAAATAATTTCCCTTAAAACGATTTCCATATCGCAGCATTTATCAAGACAATGTATCATACTATTCTATGGACAGAATCATTCCCTCCCTCTCCACAACCTTATGCCTGTAGACAGATGAACTCACTCTAACCTGATATATGTGAAAAGACATGGCAGTTGATACATTTTCAGATGATCTCCTCAAGGAATTTGGATACAGTTAGGCACAATTGCACTTGTATTCCACCACAATCAATCCTTGAAACAATTTGAGCCTTTTAGAAATGTTGAGTATATTGGTCTCAAGTATAGCTTGTTTTACCAGATTGCTCAGAAGAGTAAGAAAGACAAGACGTCCAATGACGTGGAAAATATATAAGGCATACAATGATACATGCTTCCGTTCCTCTGCAGCAGCATCAGAGGAGCATCTGTTAGTGCACAGAATCACACCGAGTGGGAGCATTTACCAGTACTGTGGTCGTCTGATCGACCAGCGCAGGCCGGCCGGCTGCGCAGTTCAGGGTAAAAGGGACCGCGTACTGAGGAGCAACAGTGGCAACGTGAGGATGTAGAGTGGCCACCATCAGTGGTGTGCAGCTGCCCTGTAATGGGGGGGGTTGGAAGTCAGTTACATGGTACATTCGTTCTCAAACATGCAGTGTTCCTTTTTGATGCTCAGAATAGTATGAAAAATTAGTTTTTGGCAAAAAAAATTTAATGGGGTAGTACTGGGCATGTTAAATGAACCAGAAATTTAGTTCAGAGTACTTAAATTTGTTTTACTTATGTTTCTTGAAACATCCGTCTTGTTCAGATTTAAGTTTAGACCTTAAAACAGCAGGAATGGGCCATGAGAAAACCATAGCCACCAAACCTCATCAATGGGATAAAACACACTGAAAAGCTATTTTAGAAGGAAATACAAATAATATATACAAAATAATCTATTATCAAAACCAGATTAGATTTTAAAGTGGGGCTGATGCACATTCTAGTCAGGCATACAAAAAGAGACACTGCCAACTGCAAATTAGAGAAAAAAAAATCACCATCATAGCTTTAAAAATCAGCAGCAAAGGTTGCATTTTTACAGTCATGGAGTCACAGAAACTGGAACTACTTTTTCTGCCTCTTTTCCCTTTGTTTCCATCCCCTCCACCACTCCTCAAAGCCCAAAAATAAAATCATGAAACAAAGACAGCTATATTAAGATGGTCTCAAAACTCTGCACTGAAATGCATATCCTTTAGCAATAAGGTTTTCAAAGCTATGAAGCATTCACCCATCATATACAAAATTACATTTCCAACACTGTAAAAAGAAAGGTTGTTATTTATTCCGTATTGCCACAGTCCTAGAGGGAAAAGAGAGAATAAACAGCAAGACGTTCCCTGATATATTACAATGATTTGTGGCAAAGCTCATTTTCAGGTTTCATTGTGTTCTGGATGACTCCGAATCACTGCTCTAATCAAACTCAAATCGTAGAATTATGTCCAGATGGAGTCAAAGAAGATTGGATTACTGTTTAAATAGAGACTGCACATGGATTCAAAAAAATGGATGTGATGTTTTGCAGAATTTCCATACAGCATGTTTCCAATGAAACGATATCTACATTACATAAAAGACGCTGAAATCAACATATGGGCAAAAATGTACACAACTGTGAACCACTTGAGCATTCTAATCCTAAATGCTAACTGAACACTAATAACAGGGCTATATGTTTTGATTTTTATAGATACAGTTGCAAGTTAAGGCTGTTGGCTTGGACAGTAAGCTGCCTATACACTGATCCAAGTAAAGTAACTCTAGTTTTAGATTGCTTTGGGGTTTTAGGCGGCTGTTAACAACAGCTGAACCTCATGCAAAAGAGCTCATGTTGGCTGCATGTGGACAAATTTAATGAAAGCTGTCATACTATCTGAATGTTTACTTCATCTACACTTACTGATACAAAACAGTCTAGGAGTCACACATGAACAGACAGAAATTAGACACTGATGAAAAAAATGGATTCTTTAGCAAGATGTTTCAGCATCAGCAGGTGAATTAAAATGAAACGCTTGGGCATAAAAACTGCAGTCATTGTACTTTAATGCAAATATCCTTGCTACTGTAGATGGGGATCAGAAATCACATGACACCAGGTTATAATCCAACAGGTTTATTTGAAAACACAAGCTTTCAGAGTGTAGCTCCTTCGTTGGCGAAGTGAGAAAGAAGTGCGTAGAACGGTAAAGTAAAAGATCAAAGGATGACACCATTGACGAGGATGTAATAAACAAACCTAAGGTGCTGTTAAATCTTTAATCAGTTAGAAGGTTTTAACTGATTACATATACATATTAATCAATTAAAACCTTCTAACTAATTGAAGATTTAACAGCATCTTAGGTTTTTTTAATACACCCTCAACAGTGGCGTCACCCTTTGATCTTTCACTTACAAAATTCTGTGTTCTGTGTGCTTCTTTTCACTTCACCTGACGAAGGGGCCACGCACCGAAAGCATGTGTTTTCAAATAAACTTGTTGGACTATAACCTGGTGTCATGTGATTTCTGACCTTGTCCACCCAGTCCAATACCGGCACCTCCACATCAACATTGTAGATGGATGGAGGTAATGTTTATCACCCCTGTTAATCTTTAAACATAGTTGCAGATATTCCAAATGGTCAGACAGTGCAGCCTGGAGTCGTATGTCAGGACCAGGAGGAATCCCAGAAACAGCTGACTCCATGGCAACTGCTCAGGAAATTGAAAAGTCTGTTGTACAATTTTCCTGCAGCTAATACCCTCCAAAAAAAAAACCCTGCAATATCACACAATTCAGAGGGTTCCACTTCTGTTGAGTTAATTGTTGTTGCCCTGGCAAGGTTAGACAATTAAAAACTAACATATGGGTAACTATTAAGCTGTCACCACACACAACCCCAACTATACCTTCCCTGAACCACGAGACCGCCAGGACCCCTGACAACCACCAAGTGGCCTGCAGAACTGGCAGTGACCCCTCCCCTACTCACATGCCTAAACTCCTAGGACCCACCACTACCAGCCCAACCAACCCTACCACCCTGAATCCGACCTGGTCACCACACATGCCAACAGCCTGGACCACCACGGCCTGACTGCCAACACTGACAACGCAAACCCAACTGCCCTGACAATCTCCCAGCCACTCTCACTGCTCCCAACTGAACCCCCAACCATTACCAGCCCAATCTCCTCATTTTACCTCGCCTCTTCTGCCAGCCCCAACACCTGCCTTGCTTGCCAGCTCAGGCAGCCCCAACAGAATTCCTGGCTAGAAATGCAGGGGCTCTCTGCTAATGAAACAATATGAGTGGAGTGGCAATCCAAATGGCTTGGATATTCCAAGGAATGGTAATATCTTTCTAACAAAAAAGGACAAAATTCAACAAGACCTGGAACAAGATAGGGCATGGCTTGAGGATTGGCTGAATAATTTGTGATGAAGATGATGATCTGTATCACCTAGATTTTTTTTTAAAAGAAAGGATCCTCCCTCCCCACCAACCCCATACATTAATATTGGGAGATATGAAAAATTGAGTTTTACTTTCAGAATTTTGTGCATTGTCTCAACTGCTGTGGTGGATTTTGTCACAAATGTCAAAATGCAATCAGAATTTTGAAAGCAGGTTGTTGGATATGAAGTGAGCTAAAACCTCCTTATTAAGATGGAAAGTCTTAAATATAAACATGTCTTATTTTAGCTTTGTAGTCACAAAACATCAATCAGGGAGCAAAAAGCTTCAAGCCAGAAGTGAGTAATTATACTAACATTGAGTTAACACCACATGGTGGAAGCATACATTCCAAGGGCCCTTTTTATTTGTTCGTTGTATATATTGCTCTGAAATGCTTCAGCATGATGAGGGACACTACGTAAATGGAAATATTTGTATGTTTTATGAAGTTATTTTAGTAACTTCCAAACTACTTCTCCAAAGTTAATCCTATACCATTTTATTTACATAAATCGTTAGTCACATCTAAACAAATCCTTAAGTTTTGCTTTCTTCAAGTTAAAGCCTTTGGCTTCTCCTTGCCTTTGCAACTAAGATATCCTCATCTGCACCTTTTCACATAACTCAATATGTTATATTTAATAGAAGTAATTGTTTTAAAAATCTCAGCATTCCCTTTTTTCCAAAAAAAAAATCAATAAATTTAAACACTATGATAAAATGAGAAATACATTTGATAACGTACTGCCTTGGTGGGTTTAGCAAATTTACCCAAGAAGTGCCGTGACACAGGCTATATGGTCCCAGAATCAATCCTGGTTAATTGATTTCAGAAGGGCAGAGGCAGGGTGTTACTACAGACCTCAGCGGCTCGACAACATATCAAAGTGCACATGGTTCTCCTGCCAAACTGAACTGGTACTGATTATGGTAACCAGTAACTGAATAGCTTGCCAGCACCAAATATTAAAATTTAACCATGGAGAAAAATTACTTGGGTAAACTACTGGACTGGGGAAATAGTCTAGTAAAAAAAAAATCAATGTTTTGGGATAGTAAGAACTGCAGATGCTGGAGTTAGAGACAATAAAGTGTGGAGCTGGAAGGGTCCCAGCCCGAAACGTCAGCTTTTCTGTTCCTCTGATGCTGCCTGGCCTACTCTGTTCCTCCAGCTCCACATTTTGTTATCAACGTTTTGGGAAGAAGATTAATCAACGATAAAAAAGTTAGCTTCAGTTATTCAGTTATACTTAGCATTCGTAAAGGTCTGTGGAAAAGTGGTATTATGTTGAACTGTAAATCAACATCTTAAGCAGTTCTAACTTTCATTAGTGAAGATATCACACTGGCAACTTTTAGAAGGGAAATTGTACTTTTGAAGAGGTTCAGTCTACAGTTATTACTTTTCATACTGTTTAACTGGTAGGCAAACAAAGGAGTGATATGCAGGGATAGAAAGTTACCAAGGGCCATTAGCTGCTTCTGACACTTAACCATAATGATGTATGACTATTGAGGCATGATACTAGGGAGATGCCAGCATCTAATGGAGCCCAGCAAGAGTTAACATGTTCAGGTTGGGAAACAAACCTCAACTTTAAATAGACTGGTCAGCCACTTACCTGAGCAAGAACACCCGGCTGAATCTGAATGGACTGTGCAGCTGGTGCTTGTGGCACAACAGGCACTGCATTCTCCACTCTAACAGAAAAGCCAGAATGTTTTGCAGATGCTTGCAACCCTGTCAATAAAAAGACACAGCATGTATGTCCATATAATTTCAAAACAAAAATAAACTTAAAAAGGTGACATTTTTGTATTAAAAACATACAAGCCAGAATATTCCATAAAGGTTGCAATTTGTTTATTGTCACAAGTAGCACTCATAGACTTTCACTGGACACAGCAAACCCTGGCCTCAGCTAAATTCAATATGTCAGTTCAGTCCCCGTGGACAATCATTACACACCGTCAAAATCACACTATCAAACCGGTCAAAATTTGAATATTGAAACTTCAAAATGGTGTTGCGACAATTGAGAGAGATTTCTGAAGAGACCAGATCTTACATTTGAATGGTGAGACAATGAAAAAAAAATGACAAGTCACTGAAGTTGTAAGAATTTGCAAATAAATTTATAAAAATTTAGAAATTTAAGCATTATGGATCCAATCTTGAGCTGTTCAAGGCCAAAACAGACAGATTTTAATCAGTAAGAGGACCAGGGTTATGAGAAAGAGGCATAAAAATGGAGTTGAGGACTATCAAATCAGTCATGATCTTTTTCAATCGCAGGGCAAACTCTAGGGACTGAATGGCCTATTTCTGCTCCTGCATCTTGTGGCCTGTTCAAAACCTACCTAGCTGGACAGTTTAAATAAAGGCTCATATTTAATTCGCTACTTGAACTGCCCAAATAGTAACAGAAAAAGTGAATTTAAATATGGGGTTTCAGATGTTGCTCTAGAACACCAAGCCTCACCCATACTATAATGTTTCTAGGTCATTAAATAATTTCAACTCCTAAATACAAAATTAGCCTATTTTGTAATTATAGATTTCACTACAATTACTCAACTGCAGTTGCTGTTTCTTTCCAGCTTTCAGCACCTATCAATTTTTTCTCTCTCCTTTTTAATGTATTTTCTACATAGCAACATTACTGAATGTTTACACTCCACTGGAGCTCAAACTACAGCACCTCCATGAATAGCCCACAAAAGATTAGGTCTCTAATAGCACCAGTTATTTAAAAACAAATAAATATACCAGTAACTGGCAAAAAATGTAAGTCATAGCTGATTGTTAAAATAAAATATTTTCCAACCAAATCCAAAATCTTTGCAATGTTACATCATGTAATCCAGTTTGAAAACCAGTCAACAAGCAAAACCAATAACACTCCACAGGAATACTATCCACTACTGATCACAGGGCTGAACAATTTCCAAACTGAATTAAACATAAGGCTTGTCATAAAATAGAAGAAAATGTAACATTAAACATAGCACACACTCAAAATCATGAGGCTGATGTTACTTTTCGAGCATGGCAGTCTGTTCACATTGAAGGGATTTTGGAAGGGATTCAGATTTCAAAAGGGGTATTTGAATTGCACAAGGATCTTGGTATTTGTATCAGGCAGTGATGAGGGGCACAGAAGACGCTTACCTTGAAATGCTGGTGGACACACAATGAGGGCTTGTTGAAAGGGGTCAGCCTGTGCACACAGCTGTGTTGTTCCAGCCTGCAGAGGCATACTTGCTTGTGCAACGCCTGCCACAGGTGCTGCTGTAGGCTGGTAGAGTGCAGGTTGATAGTTAAGCAGAGATACATCAGCACTGGACAGTGAAAGGGTTGCAGCTGTGGAGGTAGGTGCCAGGGTGTTGGCCTAAAGAAATTACATAATACATAATAACTCTCTACATAATTCAATAATCAAACTATATATGTGTAGTAACATAAAGTAAGAGATTTTCGTAGGATTTATAACAAAATCATATACAAGTAGATTGTTCAGTTAAAAACGGATTACATTTATAACCAGTTCAACTATTACCCCTTCAGTGCATTTATGGTAAAGTGCACACCACAACCTTTTCTTCAAAAACTCTAGGAATATTCTACAAAAACAATTACCTCAATATCCCTTTTTAAGGATTACCTTTTCACTTCTATGCTGTTAGAGTAACAAAGCTAGATATATCAGTACTGAAGAAATATCTTCACAAGGATCTCAGTTTTGTTCACAAGGCTGTTTACATCCATTTACACTTTTCCCAACCCTATTTGATTTTCAGCAAAAAATTTACACTCAGTGTTAAAACCTGTCAAGTACAAAGCTGCCAAAGCTAACAAAATTCTACACACAATAAAAGGAGTAACACCAGAGACAGATAGGTTTTTGATTAATAAGGGGCTAAAGCCTGAGAGGAAGAAGACCAGAAAATGGTGTTGAAAAACATATTAAGCATGATCGAATGATAGAGCAGATTCGATATACTGAATGGCCCTATTCTGATTCTATATCTTATGGTCTAACAAATCCAATAGAATTGAAAGTCAAATTATTTCACATTTACAAAAGCTAAATACTGCAGATGGTGGAAACCTGAAATAAACACAGAAAATACAAGTGATATTCAGCAGGGCAGGCAGTAAGTGGTATGAAAATTTAATGAAGTCACTGACCTTTCATCTCAAAAGGTTCAAGAGACAACACGTTACAAGCAACCACACGAGCAGAGAAAAGGAGGGGCAAAGATTAAACAAAAAACTCTTTGATAGATCGAACTCAGGGAGAGACTAAATGACAAAAAAGGATGATACCACAAAGCAGGAGACAGGTTGAGAAACAGAAGTTGGGTTTAGGGGAGTTTAAAAACAGGATAAACAACCATCCAAGTCGGATGGTTACTTAACAAACATCCAAGAAAAATGTGGTGAGGTTATGACTTGCAATTACAGAACTTGATTAGTGTTAAGTCAGGAAGGTTGTAAAGTGCTTAATTGAAAGATGAGGTACTGTTCCATTGGAGCTCAGCAAAAGTTTAAAGAACAGAGTAAGAAGTTGAGCACAGAAAGGTCAGTATGGGAGTGCAGCAACAAGTTGGGAGTCACATCAGTAGACTGAAAAGATATTCCACAAAGAAGTCACCCAATTTGTGTGGTCTCCCCTGCACAGAATAAAGCAGATCACATTAAAAACCAATAATTGTACTAAATGTTAAGTAGTACAAGTAAATTACTGTTTCACTTGGAAAGGGCAGTTTGGAAAACTGGAAATAAGAAAGGTAAAAAGGGCAGGTGCAGAATTTTTTGTTTGCATGGCAAGGGGAGGGCTTGACAGAGAAGTGGACTGGTTTTGCTGCAGGACGAACAGTCACTTCATAACATTGAAAAGGGATAGGAAGTTCTGCTTGGTGTTGGCATGATTGTAGCAGTGGTGGAAACAGCAGTGGATGATCTGTTGAATGTACACCACTTTAGACCAAATCCTTGTTTCTTTACTGTCTCATTGGTATATCCCTTCATCCTGTGTCATCTATAACATTCAATATTGTATCTTCCACTGACAAGAAACGATCCTTTTTGTTGTCCGCCCATCCACCCCACCCATCTCCCTACCTCTGAATTAGCTTAAAGCCAGTTATATCTAATTTTTTTAGGTTCTAATGAAAGTTCATTAACCTTAAATGTTAACTCTGTTCCTCTACCCACAGATACTATCTGGCAGTATTTACACCCAGGTATTAAAGAAAGGGATCCACTTTGCTTTGTGGGCCATGTAATAAGAATGTTAGTTCATAACCTTGAAAGGAAATCATATTAATTAAAAGGTTCCACATCAGCTACATTCTCTGTTCCATACTCTACCTTTACATTGTTACGTCTTAATCATAACAGAACTGGTTATAATTTCTTATGGTCTCTCACTTAAACTTACAGTTTCATCTGTAAAATTTGGGGATATGGGGCTTGTAGACTGCTTGCTTATATGGAGTGTATATATCTAGATTAGTCATAATCCCTTCCAGAATACACTTTCCCAATTTCCCCCATGCAATATTTCTATAGCCCTTACAACTTATACTCTTCAATTTCTTTCTCCAGTTTCTGGTGTTGGAATTTAGTATACACTTGCTTTCTATCAGGGTGTTAAAACATTAGGTTTTCCCAATAATTCATCTGCATATATTGATGTAAAATACTCAATATACTGAAATTTAAAAGGACACTACATTGTCTATATTTTAAAATAGCTTTTTTTTTCTTTATTCATTCACAGGATGAGGGTGTTGCTGGCTAGGCAGCATTTATTGCCCATCCCTAACTGCCCAAGGGGCAGTTAAGAGTCAACCACATTGCTGAGGGTCTGGAGTCACATGTAGGCCAGACCAGGTAAGGATGGCAGTTTCCTTCCCTAAAGGACATTAGTGAACCAGATGGGTTTTTCTGACAATCGACAATGGTCATCATTAGACTCCTAATTCCAGTTATTTTATTGAATTCAAATTCCACCATCTGCCATGGCGGGATTTGAACCCAGGTCCCCAGAACATTATCTGGATTTCTGGATTAACAGTCCAGCGATAATACCACTAGGCCATTGCCTCACCAACTTCCGGAGTGTGAGATGTGTGACAAAATGCAAACATCATTACCTTCTAATGAACAGGCTACAATAAGAATTCTCTTTCATATCAGTATTAATACAGGGTTCAAGAAAAAACTGATATTCAATCTCACAAAAGCAGTCCCAGGGCTTATCAAATTTAGCTCATACTGAAAATTGTATCAGAATATGAGTACGACATGTAGAAAGGATCAAAAAGCTGCTCAGTTAATGTAGAATTGTCTCCTCACCGTCCAAGCAACTACATGGATGAAAATCCAACTTCAGAATATGACTGAAATGACTGTATATCTACACTGCAAATTCTGTGACCATCAACTTACAATTTAATGAAATGTGTTTTGTGAACATTGTGCTTGAACTGTCTAAACTTCATTGTTGGCGTTCAGAATAATCTTTATTCCCTATATGCAGTGTCAGTACTGGGCACTCTTACACCTTGCAAACATTCCCTACTTGCTAAGCAGTCCCTACTACACCAATGTGAAACTTTTGGCTACCTTTCACATCAAATCACCCTCTAGACTCAGATTTTCAATTCTACAATAATTCAGAGAGCAAATAAAGGAAACTTGTACAATATTATGTTAAAGAGCGCTTAAAAAGGCATTAAGTACAACAGACTTTGTGTGACTCATACCTGATTGTGCATGGTGTTGAGTTGGTTATTGAAGGCCATTGTCAAATTTGTGCTTGTGCTTGGTGCAACATGTGCAATAAATGGGCTTTTATTCTGGTTTATTGTTTCATAGTTGTTGGCTCGCCGCTTGCAAATCTCCATATTCTGGAAGCAGGACTTCACACTACAAGAAATGTCAATATATTCATTTTGTAAATGGGATTAAAAAAACAAGGTGTGCACTTACTTCATTTCACTGCTGTACACAGCCATACATTTGCAGTAAACACTTTTACAAAGTGAGGATTAAAAGAAGCACAACGATTCAATGCATAACCTCCCAGAAAAAAACATTAGGTTCACATATAATTGCGCTTCATAAATATTCCTTTATCTTGAAACAGCAGAACTTTATGGATCCTGGGAAGCCATGCACAGACACACAAGAAATTATCAAATTACAGTTAAGTACTGGCTGCACTCTACCATTCTATCATTAAGTATCATTATTTGGTTTCTTCTGTCAGCTAAAAAACTGGTGTGGTGTATATCTGATCTGTCATTGCATAAAGTATGAGGTAGATTTTCCAGACAATCAATGAAATACACTTGGACAGCAACCTGCATGCCTAGTTTAATGGAAGTATTTTGAACTATTGGGAGGTTAGTGCAATATTGACATGGCATAAAAGTAGCTTGAAATAAGACCTTACCTAGGAACCAATAAATTGTATTTATAGGATACCTTTAATACAGTAAAACATGTCAACATCCAAGGTGCATTATCAAACAGAATTTGACATTGAGCAAAAGCAAGTGGTATTAAGACAGATGACCAAAAGTATAGCCAAAAACATATATTTGAAGAATTATCTTTGAAACAAAATGGCAGGTAGGTTTGACAGAAAGGAATCTGAAGTAGTTGAGTGGATTTCAAAGTAGTTGGCCTTTGCAGACAAAGACAGTGCCACCAATTGCTGGGCATTTAAAATTAGATGTGTGTGAATGCCCAGAATTGGAGGAACACATATCTCAGAGGGTTGTACGTGGTTATAGAGATAGCAAGGACCAAGACAACCGACGATTTGAAAACAAGGAAGAGAATTTTAAAATCGAGCCACGAGTCATCAGGGGTCAATGTAGGTCAATGTAGATCAGCAAGCACAAAGGTTGATGAATGAACCTCAGTGCAAGTTACAGTAAGGGAGCAAAGTTTTGGATGCCCTCAAGTTAATGTAGGTTGAAAGATGAGAGCGCCAGCAAGAGGTACATTGGGAACAGTCAAGTCTAGAAGGAACAAAAACAAGGACAAGCTTTCCTGCAACAGATGAGCAGAGACAGGGGTACAGTCAGGCAACTTTCTACAGGTGGAACATTATACATTCCAAAGTCAAGATACAAAGTTCTTGATTTCACATATAATATGTATGTATTTTAAAGAGCTTACTGATTGCTATGAGGGAAGTCAAGTAGATGAGTCATGGTAACAAACGGATGGTTTAAGGTTTTTAACGGATTAACCCTCTTGTCAGCATCTATAGTCAACATTTTCTTCAACAGATCAATATACTCCCTCCGGTCTGCCTTCTCTGCCAACATATCTGTTCCCTCCAAATCATTTGGCATGTTCACCTAAAAGTGGAAAAACATTACAAACATCATTGTCAATCAGTAAAGAAAGACAATGTGATAATGGGTTTGTCATTAACTGATTTAAGATAGTCATCTTGATAAAATAAGTTTAGCATTAAGAAGTTACAATGGCTGCGGTAATCTGAAAATGGTACACAATCTTTGTCCTGATTTTAAGTGTCAAGCGCACAGTTTACATGTTGCTGTTAGATTTTCTGAGGATAAAAACATGGCAAGGGTTTGGCTAGCCCCTTTCGCTGCACTGTCATGTATCGACCAACGAATACTAAATGTCAAAATGTTCAAGAGAAGAATATACGCATTTGGCAAATTTCAATGACTCTTGAGAGTTTAGAGTACTTCTCATTGTTAAAGTACCTTACATAGTAAGGCACAGAAGAATTTTTTTCTCCAGGAACTGGTAACATTGAATCTGTATCAACAGATGTTGAATGTTCAATAATAATCCTCTATCACTAAATACACTTATGGATTAAGTACTCAGCACTGCAAAAGAGCTAATCTTGTTACCCACTATTCACTTAGTAACATGTGAAGTCAGTAAGTAAAGGTATGCATTGCCAAAGACCATAAGTGAACTAATATTAATTTCTTACTTTTTCTTACTCCAGAAATATTCTTTAAAAAAAACAAACTTCCCAACAATTAAATTTGTAACTATGGAGTGCTCCATATTTAAAGACCAGAGGATCCTGGCCTGTAGCAAATTTTAGCTGCAATACAATTAGGGTAATATAAGTGATCCTAATACTACTGGGCACTGATAAAAAGGTGAAGGGAGAAGGGAAAGAGACGACCAGGAAGTTACGAGCTAATTTTCCCTCTTTCAATTTCTCTTTGGGTACTGTAAAATTCCCCATTCAGGAGTACTGGCTGCAGACCAGTTCAGACTCCTTGTAAAGGAATTTTTCCAACATGATTTTGCTTGACTTGCGCACACAGTACAGACATTTGCTGGGGGACTAAGTATGGAACAATATACCAACGTTAAGTCAATGCTATCAGGAGGACAGCAGAATGAGCAGTGGTCCAGCAGTTTCTAACACTGGAGTAAGATTCAGACTCTTTAACTGGAAGTAGAATGGCAAACAATAGTGTTATTATTCTGCTTGTTGATATTTATCATCAAAACCATAAATTCAATAAATTCATAGGACCCATTAAAACTTCAGGAAAAAACAACGTATGTGTTTCAAAATTGGTATAGATTAATTTCACTAGTGATAGAAAAAATTAGGCTAACTACTAGCACTTCAGGCAGTAACATTTGAAGTACATTGGATTTAGTTTCATTCTTTCATTTAAAAGCTCCATAATTTAGTAGAATCCATTGAAACACTGTCACCAGAATTAACAAATAAGCTTAATTCAGGTGATCAAAATAAATGAGGAAGATTAAACCTCAGACCAGTTCCGAGGAAGAGTCACCGGACCCAAAACATTAACTCTGGTTTATCTTCACAGATGCTGCCAGACCCGCTGAGCTTTCCCAGCAACTTCTGTTTTAGTTCCTGATTTACAGCATCCACAGTTCTTTGTTTTTATTTGAAAAACTAAAAGGAGTTGGGGTTTGTAATCTCCACTGATGGGACTATATAATGCACTTTCCTCATTTCGATTCATAATGGTGCACAATTTCAGAAATATCTACGAATATCCAACTTTCAGTATCGCTGAAGGCATGTACTGTGGGTTGGTTGGTACATGGGAGGTACTTTAGACAAACAAGGGAAATTCCAGAATTTCAAGGCCAGTTTGACAGTACAACTGAATGGAGAATGATTAGTTACAGGCCCTAAGCAGAACAGGAAAATTTTGCAATAAGAGAGGGTCATAGCTAACTATTGATAGGGCAGGGTACCACAGCAAGATTCCTACCTGATCAGTGTACCAGTAACACCCAGCAGAGTTATGTTAAGTAGTCTGATCATGAGATTTCTGACTTGGATAGGTGCAGGTTGTGTCATTTTGGTCTTCAGTGAATCCCCTCAGAATTTCTGCATCTCTGTATGCTTTAACTTAAATTAATGAGCTCTTTCATCCAATGGGGAATCAAGGAATAAAGTTTAGGAAGATGTGACTTTGATCCTTCGTCTTTGTGAAGTCACTGATTTTTTAAGTTCATTGCATTGAGGAGAGAATGAGGTCACTCATAAGCATAACAGAAAGAATACTAGAGTGATAATTTCTGGTGTTGCCTCAAACCTGCTTTACAAATGGATAATAACAGAGCTATGACAGAAGTTAAACAAGTCAAACTCCATGCATACCTGAGCCATATCATCCAAACAGTTGAAAATGTACTTTCTTGCTTCCTTCGATTTGATCCCAGTCTCTAACTCATGTTCCTCTGGTGTCTAATAGAGCAAAAAAAATTAGGTTTTCCTAGACAAAGTGCTGAAGACTATTTCCTCAACCAATACTTCAACTTGCTACTGGCCAGATTATTTTACTGGCTCCATTTTTGATTAAATAAATTGAATGAAAGTCACTGCAGCTCAATGGCTATGATTTAAAAAAAAAATCAAATATGATTAATCTCTTTTAAAATGCATAGGATGGTCATGGTAACACTACAGAACTAAACATTAAACTGCTCTCTACCATCTTCTGGTACCAAGTTTGGAGAATTCTTACTCAGTAAATTAATCATGTAGTGCACTTTACTTTTGATAGCTTTATGAAGGAATTCTGCAAAGAATTATATATATTTAAATATATCCTTAATGTGCTTCTCAGCTTCAATTCTTAAGACTATCATGGTCATATTGATACTTGGTCAATGGATTCCTTCATTCATAGTAACATGTTGTTATAACTCAGAATTAATAGCACCATTAACTGACTTTTAACATTTAATATATTTAGTTAAAGGTCTATTACTTATCCACAAAATATTTTCTTTCAAGACAGGTAAAACAAAAAAGCAGAGGATTAAACTTAACCCATATTCAGAATATACAATCTGAAATAATTAAAATATGATTTTGGCACTTGCAATTGCTAGTAAACCAAGCTTTCTCTCTCTCTGTCATTCTCTTTAGTAGCAACACAGAAATAACATTAAAGGCCTGGGAGACAGCAGACAGTATCATCCAATGCCTGCAGCTGTATATTATTGATTGAAAAGGGACTTCTTCCTTGTTGTATTGAGATCACAATGATCAACAGTTGAATTTTGCAGGTAACAGCTACTTCACAATGCAGTCTAGACAAGAATCTGAACACTAAGTTGTGTGTTTGGATTATCCTTAGAGCTGATCAGAATTACTCAGAGGAGAACAAACTCTATTAAGTGACATACCTTTGCTCACAAACACGACAATTAGATAACTAGTTATCAGCATTTACCAATAGCAGCGATACATCAGAAATTTAAAAATTGAGAACTCAACAGATGCAATGCTAGGAATTCTGCAACCAGAACACCCGAGTTTGAATTTAAGTCTTTCACATCTAAATGTCAAGTGAAGGAGTTTGCCAGTTATGTCAACATTGACTACACGACCCTACTTGTTCAAGTATGTATCTAGTTAGCTAGCAAGCTTTGCAGATTACAACAGTGCTTAACAACACAATTTCCAAACTACAATCTATGCAATCATATATTGTAGGTATGAGTTGAAGAAAACAGAAAAATAACCACACAAGACTTTATTACAGATAAGGAATAAGATAAAAACTGCTTTTTAAAACTTAGCTGCAAGTGCAGACAAGTGATACTCCCTAGGGTGGTACTGAACTTGCAGCTTTTAAACATGCAAGTCTACTTTCAAAGGCTAATTTAAAGACTTTTGTCAATCCCACTGGCTTTTTTTAAAAATTAAAAATCTAAATAACCTTGAGCTTCCACAATGGATATCCTCCATCTGGATCTCTGTTAAAAAACCTTGTCGTCTTTGTTCCAGCACTCAGCAAGTACTCAGCCGGCAAACCTTGTGTTTGAGAAATGTAGCGTATCTGAGAGAAAAAAAACAGAAAAAAACAACCATAATTGCAACTTTTTGCCAATTTTAAAACTTGTGTAGATGACTTTAGTAAAACTTGTGTCATGCAGAAATTCACCCCTCCAATACACACACCTCTCCCCAAGTTACTGATGAATTCAATTCAGTATGCAGACAATTGCTATACAACATAACACCATGTTATGTTCATAGCAGTCACATATTAATCCATCCATATCAGTATTGGTAGGTGTGACCACCAGATTAATGTATAGATGAGTCTTCACTATGAGGACACCCTCATTCATGTATTGTGGCACCATCACCATATTGAATGGAACAGATTCTACAAATTTAGCAGCTCAAAACTGGGCATTATTGAGCTGCTTTGGACTATCACCAGTAATATAACTGTATACCTCTAATTTTGTACCCTCAGAGGCATTTAGTCAGCAATTATCTGTTCATTTATGGTCAATGGTTTCTGTCAGGATTATTCTGCTCCAGGCCTTGTTGCAATTTTGATCTGAACATAAATAAAATTGTTAAATTCCACTGTTAAGGTAACACTGAATGCCCTTAAACAACTCAGCTGTGACACATGGCAACAAGAAGTCATTGTAAAATTGGGATGAAGCAGTGATCAGAGGGAAAACTTCAATGGCTGGGATCATATGAAGAACAAAGGAAGGCAGATATGATTGGAGATCAATCATCTCAGAAGGAGGACAGCACCCTCAACACAGACATCTTCAGCTACTTCAATGATCTTTTCAACATTGTGAAGGTTTGAAGTAGGACGATTACTGATGATTGTACAGTGAGGAATCCCACTTCGAATTTTCTCAGATAATGAAGCAGTCTTTGCCCACAGGCAGGAAAGACTTGGACAACGTTCAAACTTGAGTTGGTAATGGTAATTAACATTCATACCACTGAATGCCAGGCAATGACCATTTGCAAGAAGAGGGAGTCAGGTGAACCATGTTGACATTCAATCCTTTAAATTTACTATTTTGTTTATTGGGGCCTCTTGTAGCATAGAGGTAGAATCCCTATCGCTGAACACGGAGGCCTGAGTTTAAGTCCCACCTGCTCCAAGGATGTATAATTGTTGATTAGGTTGATTAGAAAAATAAGTTAAATTAAAAAAAATAATATTTGAATCTCTCTATTGAAATTCCAGGGGTCACTACCGACAAAAAAATGTAACTGCACCTGTCATATAACAACTATTGTCACCGGAATAAATCAGAGATTGAACATTTTGCAAAAGCTAACTCAGCACATGACTCCTCAAATTCCATCTAACATCTGCATGGCACAAGTCAAGGATGTGATGGAATACACTTCACTTGCCTGGATGAGTGCAGTTCCAACAATATTTGACAGAAGATAATTTTAGGGTTGGAAGATGTTATGGAGTTAGGGAGGATATTGACTGTAAGTACATTTAAACATCAAAAGTAGTAAAGGTACAAGTGTTTCAGCAGCATTCAGTTTGAGAAAACAACAGACACGGGTGACACTAATACAGAAAGTTGTCTTTGCAGTCAAAAGTTTAGCTCAGTGCAAACAGAATGTTACAGTTACCAACAATACAGTTTAACTTCAAATATGGATTGATGGGGGAATATGGTCACTGGTGAAACAGCAAACTTTATTGTGAAAGCTAAAGAAGTCTTTGTGGTGTTAATTTAGGGAAAATTATGCCTTATTCGTCTACTTTCCATCAACAGCAAAGTGACGGAAGGGATTAGTGACAGCTGTAATAAGGGGTATTTACACAATAATAACCTACTCACAAACACTCAGCTTGGGTTCTGCCAGGTCCACTCACTCCCTGAACTCATTACAGCCTTAGGTCCTAGTACAGGCAAAGGAGCTGAACTCAAGCGAGGGTGGCTGCCCTTGACATCAAAGTAGCGCTTGATCAAGGAGACCTGGCAAAACTGAAGTCAATAAGAATTGAGGGGGAATGTTCACTGGTTGGAGTCAGACCTAACACTAAGGAATATGGCTGTAGCTGTTTGAGGCAGACCTAGGATATTCTTCAGGAGATATTCAGGATAGCATTCTCAGCCCATCTTCAGCTGCTTCATCACTGACATTTTCTGCATCAAAGTCAGAAGTGGGAACTTTTGTTGACAACTGCAATTGATGATAAGCATCACTCAGGACTCTTCAAATACAGAAGCAGTTTGCGTCCATATCCACAAAGGCCTAAACAATAATGAGCATTGTGCAGCTAAGTGGCAAGTTACATCCATGACATACAAGCGCTGAGCAATAAACATCAACAAGAATGAATTTAATCATCACCCCTTAACATTCAACAGCATTACTATCACTGAATCCTAAACCATGAACATCCTGGGGCTTACCACTGGCCAGAAACTGAACTGGACCAGCTATATCAATATTATGACTACAAGAGCAAGTTAGAGACTGAGAATTCTGTGGTGCTTAAGTCACATCCTGACTCCCTAAAGCCTGCCTGCAATCTACAAGGCACAAGTTCAGGAGTGCAGGAAAACTCTCCACTTAATTGGACCTGTGCAGCTCTAAAAGCAATCAAAAGCTTGATACCATCCAGAACCAAGCTGCTCAACTTAATCATCACCTCAGTCACCAGTTTCAACATTCATTCTCTCCAACACCGATTCACAGTTGTAGCAGTGTGCACCATCTACAAGCTGTACTGCACCAAGGCTCCTTTGACAGCATCTTCCAAACCTGCAAACTCTACCATCTACAGGGATTGGGGTAAAACACACATGAAACATCACATCCTGAAAAGGTCCTTAACAAGGCACACACTATCCTTTATACAAAGATACTATCACTATTCTTTCACGGTTACGGAGTCAAAAAATTGGAACTTCTTTTGTAACTGCACTGAAGGTGTATCCACATTACATGTATTGCAGCCATTCAAGTAGGCAGCTCACCACCACCTTCTCATGGTCAAATGTGGAAGGGCAACAAATGCTGATCAAGTCAGATATAAGTAGGAAAGTTTGACCAAGTAGGAGAGGAGGAAGCAGATGGGTCTAACTTTGTAGAAATGAACCCATGAGTTTGTCCTACTCTTCTGAAACAATTAATTTGAAAATCAATGTGACTAATTAACAGAAGGTCACTGTAACAAAAGTCAACTGTTAAAGGTAACTTTAAAATTGTACTCAGGTGGTAATCTTAATTGGGGATTCACTTGTGCTGCTTTGAGCTTGGAGGTGCAAATTTGCTTGTACCTCTGTAAAGATTTGCACTAACTCTGTCCTTCACCACCCTGGCTATTTGGAAGAGGAGAGGCATATGTTTTTAAAAGGAAACATGAAAAGGACAGGGGAAAAGAGCTTATAGAGACAGTTGTTTGTGGAGAAAAGAACCTCATTATTATCTCTACCCTCAAAAAGTGATCCTGCAATCCTGCAGTGTGGTGTGGTTCAGCCACATCTTTCTTGGTCTATAGGAATAGATGCGCGTCAATTTCATTCAAGTTTGCACCCTTGGACTTGAGAAAATAAACAAAATGCTGAAAGACGGGGACTAAAGGTCTTCTTTTTACAAAAGCATTATAGTTAAAAGGTGAGGATTTAGTTGAACAAAGTCAACGACAACCATGAAAAATACTAATCAATCGTCTGTTTTAGTTGGAATGGCGTGTGGCAGAAATAGATTTAATGGGGTGATTGGAGCGTGACATAGTAATGATGGATGATTCAATATTTTGCCTTCATTATTTAAATTTGTCTCAATTAACTGTATAGCAATTTGCAACTGATTATATACAAATATTGACTATCAACATTAACTGCTGCACCTTACAGTAGGCTGCTAGTTATCAATTTCTCAGCAGAAAGGCTAATGCAAATAATAGCATCATTTGTTGCTTCATGCACACACCAGTCTTCTGCTGATCAACTGAGACAAAAAACAAGTCTGTTGCAATATCCACACCAATTTACTGATGCAAAACATCCCCATGAATGACAGTGCTAATCACAATAAACATTTATCTCATTTTTGGGCTCTCGTTTCAAGTGCAATTCATTTCAGAGGCAGAGATATCTATGTGGCAAAAGTGATCTGCGTGTGTAGATTCTAGATCAAAATTACACTTTAGTACTTCATGTTTGTACTTTTAATTTGTAAGAAAAACTCTGGACCCAAGCAATAAACTCAATCAGCCTAGAGGTCACAGTAGCACATCATTAAACTTCAGAGTGATATCTTCTAAATATTATGGATTGAAGTCACTGAAAAAGCTGTGTAAAAGCAAGAACAAAAATTTAACCACTAGACTTCCAGCGGGTTCACCAAAAGGTCAGTTACTATGAATGAGGTGGTCTTCAATTTTAAGCTCAAGAATAGTTGTGTCAATTAAGCATCAATATGGAAGAAACGATATTTTATGTTATTAAACAAAGGAGCATTAAAAAACAAAATATACTACTTCTAACTCTGACAATGTTCAAGATAAGAGAATAGAGGATCCTATTTTCAACACAATGTATCAAGTCAGATTTCAACTGGAGTAGAAATAGTAATGCTACAAATGGTCTGAATATTTGCTAACGAGAGAAAACACTGTCATTTAACATTTATTTCTTGCTGTCTGAGTTTGGAGGCACAATCCCATTTAAAATAACTGGTTTGTTATCTGAGCAAATAATTCATCCCGTAATCTGACCAAAACTAAAAACAATCGCCAACTTATAAATGTTGCCTAATTAAATTGCCTAATTAAATGTAAATGAGTACACTGGCTTTTAACACAAGTGAACTACCCATATATTTCTCCACGAAAGAAACTGCGGTAGATAAATGCAGAGCATTTACTAAGGACCTATATCATCTTAGGCAATGCCTTGCGGTCTTTCAAGCTAAAAATGAGTTCTCAGGCGACTGAACAGTCCAATATACAATTAACAGTGTCACAGGTGGGGCAGATTATGAGATACCTGGACTGCACTCTGTTCTTGGTTGAGTCTTGACTTCTGCTGGTTGTTGGCAATGAGACACAAGTTATACAGAACTTTCACAGCTGCTTTCCTTCAGGTAATCTTGGGTCAGGGATTCCCAGGTGTCGATGGAAATGTTGCACTTCAAGGATATCCTTGAAGCATTTCCTCTGCCCTTCTGAGGTTCATTTGCCAAGTCGAAGCTCTTGAGTAAAATTTCATTTCACGAGTCTCATGTCAGGCATTCAGACAATGCTGACAAACTAGTGGAGCTGATCGAGCATGGTTAATGTTTTGATGTTGGCCTAAGCAAGAATACTTGATATTGGTGCACCTATCCCACCAATGGATTTGCAGAATCTTGCTGCACAGGCAGCACTCTTAGCAAGTCTCCAGGATTTTGAGGTGTCTGCTATATATAGTTCAGTTCTCAGACACACAAGTGGTGCACTGCTCTGTATGTCATGAGCTTGCTACTGGGTGAACTGGCACACTGAAGGTAACAATGAACCTTTCTAATGTCTGCCCTAGTCGACAGTAGACTCCCAAGATATGGAAAGTAGTCTACGCAGTGTGGTATGATGGGGCAGTTTGAGCAGGGGACCTCTGTCTTACAAATGTTTCATGTAGGACATATGCTCTCATATGCCTCGGTCAGTCACCGAGTTATAACAATAAGAAAGTTCAAGGATATGGGAAACCATTTTGATGTGCAGGTTCAGTCTTGTTCAGTGTTTGCATTATTGTATGCACTAACACCACCAAGTTCTTTGATCAGAAACTTTAAATATCAAAGTAGAATTCTTGCCCTTCTGAGCATTCTCCTGTTTGGAAATAAATGCTCCCAAGCACAAACCTGTAAACCAATGATACATTTTCCACTCAGTGTTTCAGAGATGGGGTAAGCATGGTTGAATAATTACAGTCCTTTTCAATACCACATCAAATGCTGAAATAGCAACTATCATGGTAGTATCATAGTAGATCATCTATAAAATCAAACACAGATAACAGACAAACAAGTTCTTGGTGTTCATGAAAAAGTACAGCAGCAACAGTTACACACCAACGCTGGTTAAAGAACATGCTTTTTTTCACTTGAAGGTGATACACATGACAAAGTAGCAGCTAAAGGAAACACTATCAACTAATTTTTGGATACTTTAAAAGAAAATGAAATGCACGTAAAATGTGTATGAGACCAATTACCTTAAAAACATGAAAATGCTGGACTTCAAAACAGAAAGCGAACAAGAACTAAAAAGTAGAGCAATGTAGATGCTGGAAATCTAAAATAAAAACAAGTGTGCTGGAAAATTTCAGGTCTCACAGCATCTATGAAGAAAGAAATGGAATTAATGTGTTGAGTTGAATCCAACTCTTCAACCAAACCAGAAACCTCCAGCATTTTGTTTTTATTTAAAGAGCTAAAAGACACCTGCAGCTAAACAGCCAACAAAGATAACTTCCCTGAATGCAGAACATGACAGTTTTGAAGTAAAGCTCGTTAAGTTCTAAACTAATCGCTCAAGAGACTGCAGAATTCCCCAGCACATAATTGGGCAGCAGAAAAAGGTGAATTCACAAAGCTGAAACCAGGCAGTGTACCAAACAATTTCCAACTCAGTCCTAGGCAGAAACTCAATGTTACCATCTTTCCCATTGAAGCCAAGTTCAAAATATAAAAACCCTCAGCCAACCTTCACACAACTCTTGCAATTGATGCAGAAATAGCATCCTTGCTGATGATTCTAAGTAACAGCATGTCACTTCTTACCTATCTCAGTTGGAAGGAAAATTATTCACTTGCAACTCCTGTCTGCTTTCTGAGGCAAATTCGATCTTGTCATTTGTTGCCAGTTTCTTCTGCCGTCCCTTATCCACCTCTCACTATACATGACCACCACCCACAATTGCTCCACACCACAACCCTATCACTGCTCATCCCCAAAATACCAGTCTTTCCCTGCTCTCAGTTTTTTTCTCTTTCTCATTCCTTGAGCTTTCTCCGGTTTCCTGTTGCTTATACACGCTCAAAAAAAGGGAAAGAGAAAGACAGGAGATTTGTACAACAAGAATAAATATTTTTAAAAATCAAGATTTCTGTGAATTGGAAAGACAGTGAAGGCAATGAGCACAGGAGTGATAGGCAAATACATATTCTGACATGCAGGGATTTGGGTGAGTTTAAGTTGATGAAAAGTTGGGATGGCAGAAATAGTCACATTTAGAGGCATCAAAAGCATGAAGGAGGTTTCAGCAGCATATAAACTAAGGCAGCAAGGTAGAGACAGCAATGTTATAAAGTTATCATTGGTGGTTTTTGTAATGGAGAGTTTGAGAGGTCAGAGCGTAAATGAAGAGTCACATTTGAGGTTGTGCAGTCAGCCAGAGATAGTGGCTGGAGGGCACACATGGAAGTGGTGGCAAGGAAATGAATCTCTGGCAGGAGGTGAAGACTATAACTTTTATTTTTTCAGTGTTAATTTTTTTTTTGTTGACCAGCCATTGGAAACTGCAATATCAACCCAGCTTTGGACTAGGCATCCTACAGAGGACACTCAGGTGCCAACTTTGAGATATTCTTTAACAATTAAATAGATTTATCTCTTTTTCTACTTTGTGTAGGGCAGAGTCAGTTAAGTCTGCCAACGGCTCATAAACATCATTGTCTCCACAAGAACTGGGAAAACTGGGCATATTTTATAAAAAACTAGTTGAAATAAGAAGAACAGCCCTTGACATCATGGTCACATTCAGCTGCGTGAGACATCAAGGAGCGGTAGCAAAACTGGAATCAATGGATATCAGCGTACAAACTCTCTGCTGATTGGAGCTATATCTTTGCATATAGGGAGATGGTTGTAATTGTTAGAAGCCAGTCATCGCAGCTGCAGGACATCTCTGCAGGAGCTTCTCAGGGTAGTTCCGAGGGCCAACCATCTTCAGCTGCTTCATCAATGATCTTCCTATGCATCATAACATCAGAAGTGGGAATGCTTGCCAATGACTGGACAATGTTCAGCACTATTTGTGAATCCTAAGATACTGAAGCAATCCATGTTCAAATGCAACAAGATCTGGACAATGTCCAGGCTTGGGCTGACAAGTGACAAACAACATGCGTGCCACAGAAATGTCAGGCAATGGCCATCTCCAATAAGAAACTATCTAACTACTGTACCTTGATATTCAATGGTGTTACTATCACCAGTCTCCAATTATCAATATCCTGGGGGTTACCATTGACCAGAAACTCAAGTGGACTCACCACATAAACACAGTGGCTGCAGGAGCAGGTCAGAAGCTAAGAATACTGCGGCAAGTAACTCACCTCCTGACTCCTCAAAGCCTGTCCACCAGCTACAAGGCACAAGTCAGGAGTGTGATGGAATACTCCCCCAGTTGCCTGGATGGGTTCAGCTCCCAACATTCAAGCTTCTTGAGATGCTCCAGCACGAAGCAGCCCACTTGATCGGTACCACATCCACAAGCAGCCACTTCTCTCCACCACTGACGCTCAGTAGCAGCAGTGTGTACTATCTAAAAGATGCACTGCAGAAATTCACCAAAGATCCTTCCACAACTCCTTCCAAACCCACAACCACTTCCATCTAGGAGGATAATGGCAGCAGGAATATAAAACACCACTACCCACAATTTCCCCTCCAAGCCATTCACTACTCTGACTTGGAAATATATCACTGTTCCTTCACTGTTGTTAAGACATAATCCTGGAATTCCCTGCCTAAGAGCATTGTGGGTCAACCTACTGCATGCAGACTGTGGTGGTTCAAGAAAACAGCTCACCATCATCTTCTCAAGGGCTGCTGGGGACAGGCAATAATTACTGGCAATTCAGTGACACCCACGTCCCACAAGTGAATAAATGAACCAAGTAAAGAAGCAGCTAATGTGTTAGCTTAAAAACATGCAAACCTGATGCCAACAGCCTTGCACTTCACCACCACACACCTTAACACAAATCAGGAAAAATCCCAAAATCTAAATGAATTCTAAATCAGATAGTCAGTATATCCATTAAGACATTATGTCATTTAGCACAAAACAAAGCATTTTCATGTATGGCAATATTTCAGCAATACTTATACACAAATATTAAAAATGTCTGTTTTACAAATTGAGGTTTTTCCTACCTGATCATACTCTGATGCACCTGGATACAATGGCCATCCCAGAAACATCTCTGCAATAACACATCCTAGTGACCACATATCAATTGCTTCACAGAATCGTAACCCAAGAATAATTTCAGGAGCCCTGCAAAGAGGGAAATTTAAATAAAAATCAACAACCACTCACACATAATTGATATGCATTGGATTTTTTAAAAAAATCTGCATTCCAAATGTAATTCATTAGTTAGATAGCATGACATTCAACATTTCAAACCTTCTACTATAATTTCTACTCCAATTACATAAGACACAGGTATGCAATGGCAGAAATCAAATAGAACAAAATTTTGAAACATAATTTAAATGCAAGGCAATAAATGTCATAAAATTTTTAAGAAGTTAAAATTTAACTTTGGAAAAAATGGGGCTGGCCAAATAGTACTGTGTGTGTTAATGCCAGAGCTCCATAGACATTTCGATTGAAAAGCTGCTGCTTAATCAGGAACCATAAACATCCATCCATCTTTGTTGAAAGTATTATAAATTACAAAATTAAATTCACCTAAGACACAGAACATTTTTCACAAAACATTTTTGACAAAACATTTTCTGAGGTTATATATAGGTTTATTACTGTCCACCTAACTACCATTTTAATTTCCTTGACGTGATCATTCTACTATTTACTCCATCAGTATCTGCACCAAGCAATTCCTCATCTTAGACGATATGAACCTTCATCTCATTCCACCTCTCTCCAGAGTTCTCTGCTTTCCTATTCTCCCTTAACCTCAACTGCTTCCCTGCCATGTGAACACATCAACCTATATTCACAACCATCTCATATTTTTGCCAGCTCAGTTATGCACCAAAAGATCTAGATGGCTCACAAAGCACTAGTGGCCCTCCTCTCATTTGTGAAATATGCTGACTATACCAGGATCATCCGAGAATACAAAAGTAGAAAGAGCACGAGGAGGAGGGGGAAGAGTGGGGGCAAAGGAGAGGGGAAGTGGGGCAAGAAGAGCATATATGTGTGAAATTGGTTGTTGGCATATGCGTCAGTAAGCAGGTGATGTACATTTAAGTTATCATTACAAAACATCAAGGGAAAAATGGGGAATTCTTCTTACAAACAGACAGTTCTGATCTGGAATACACACAGTTAAAAAATGGCAGATGCAAATTCCATCGCAATTTTCCAAACATGGATTAAGTATAACTGGAAACTGAAATATTTACATGGCTATGGACAAACAAAAGAGCAATGAACATAACCATTAGATCACTCACAAAGTCAGCACAGAAATAGTGCTCTTTCTTTAGTACTGTAAGATCCTGTTTTGCTATACAACATAATTTTTTTTCATAGACCATTAATTCAACTGTATTCAACTTCATATGTACTTGCTTTACACTATCATTGCAAAATAGCCAAGAAACCCTAGTAACAAGGAAAGGATTACCCTGATGCACTTAAGTAAGGTGTGTCTGGTTAACATGCAAAAACAATATTTTTCATTGTACCTCTGTACACGTGACAATAATAAATTTGAATCAAAGATTTATATCAGCCACGGAAAAATTACAGCAAAATGCATTCTCCTACTCTATTAGTCTTGCACCAATTCAAGTCATACGTTAAAATAAAAATTCAAGCCCATATTTAAATGCACTTAATTCAGAATATAGTGTATTTTATAAATACAGAAACCATGGAAGGGAGTGGTGGTAGACCCAAAATTAAAACATCGGCACAATTAAGGTTTTTTCATTTTTCCAAACTTCTTTTTCTCAATAAGCATTCTTACAAAAAGAAGAAATTTCCAATAAAGAATTTTAAGTTGCCAGCAGAGGGAAAACTGTGTACAGTTTACAAATCACGACCGTTACTTGCATTATGTACACAGCTAACATTATCTACCATCACACCAAAAATCTCATTAAGCAGCAAGTCCACTGGAACCCAGCTAGTTTCAAACCAAATAAAAATTAGCTTCCAAGCTTGCAAAGACGACAGTGAGGTGAAAATTAGAATGCGCGTTTCAGACACATATAGATGAAGGACGTATTCATTATTTACGAGAACAACCTTGCAAGAAGTTTCAGGGCATGTTGTTTGAGAGTCCTGTTCTCAATAAGAAAGCGTGCGGTCTCATTTGTAATGTTGTTACAGGTTATTTTATCATCACTCATATGTTAAATTCTGGCCATTCACATCTCATGGCTGTCAAATGCAACTTTAATTTTCAGGTTTTTTTTTATGAACCAAAAAGGCAAATTTATATGGTGCTTGAAATAAATATTTTACAATGGAATAAAAAAAACTAAGTTATATTATCAATATACTTGCATGTTACAGAGGGGACAAAAAAGAGAGTATTACATTTATTCAAAACCACATCATTTAGGAATACTATTCCAATAAAAGCTGGTATGGTAATATACATTGACCATTCATGTACTAAAATTACTAAATTACACAGTATTGTGCTGTCCCAGTCATTGATTGGTCCAGTAGAATTGAAACAAGTGGAAGACAGGAAAAGCAATGTTGGCATCTACTGATTCTTGGGAAGGGTATAGTATATAAGTACAAGAACACGTTTGGAAGGATCAGTTCATTTCCTAGCACTACACTGTAAACTAATTAATGAACACTTCAAAAGAAGTCTAGATCACATTTATTTCTAAGGTGGTTTCGAATGTCATTCAAGGAAACTAAGCACTGCAAATGTGTTTTCAAATCTTTTGAAACCTGCAATTTACATTATCTTGATAGTTAAACTTTCGCTGTGGATCTTAAAAGACAAAGGAAGGCAAAAACAGTGGGAATTCCATTTTTAAATAGCTTAAATAGTTAATGATGGAGAAAAACAAAGGGAGAAGAATAAGTTGAAAGTCGTAGCGAAGGAGTGAACCCACAAAACCATGTAAACCAGGGTAATCCAAAGTAGGGGTCAGGATGCCAAGTGGAGCGACACACTAAAATTGAGACCATGAGCCCTGAGATAGTAATTAGCCTCACTGAGTCCAACCATATTATAACAATTGCACCCCACCCGATCCGCTTAAGTCCCTACACTCCTCATTCTTACTGAGTCACAACAATTTTTAAGCCTCAAAATGGAGCCACAGAGCAAAAGTTTCAAAAGCATGGATTTACAAAGATAATTTTAAGTTTGAGGCATGTGGGGCAGTAAGGGTGAGAGAGAAGACACTGAAGTTAGGTCAACAAGACAGGGTGAAGACTGAGCTCCGTTTAGGTATGGGATAGAAACTGGATTGATTTTGGATGAGCTGATCAATGAGGTGAAAGTGAGAAACTAGCAGGAGACCAATGGAAGAAGAACGGAGGTGACTAAGGTATTATGAGGAAGTACTATTGTACAGGCCACATCTTCAACTGACTTTCCCCAAATTGGAAGCACTACAGATACAATATGTGCCTTCACAAATTTATTCAATGCAGCTTGTGGCAATGCGCTAGGCAGAATATCCAGTAAAAGATAAGAGTCAATTATATTTAGTCAGTTCAATATATAAAGCAGAGGAGCAAAGTGCTAATATATTAATGCATAATGGTTCCTGAAGTAGTGTTGAACTTTGCTGTAAACATCAGAACAATCACAACAATAATCCACAGAAACAACACTGCACTCTTTTGAAAAAAAGTTAGTGTTAAGTATTTCCATGCGCTTTGTTGTTATATGAATCCAAAACATCTTTATCACTACAGCAAGGAGGTCATTTTTCTGCTAATGCACTAAAGAGCATTCTAATTTTATGATCATGGAAACAGGAAAATCTAAAGTACTAAAGGAGTACAATTCACTGTATTTAACAAAGAAAACTATCATATGATAAAGCATAGTTGAAGACATAACTACTTACATTAAATATTTTAACCATCTGGTCCATTTAAGATTGTAAAACCTTTGAACACGTGCATTATAAAATGCATAGGAAGTGGTGTTGAGGATCAAGGGCTTGCTAATCATTCCTTTAAAATCAGTAACCATAGCGCTATCTCCCTCCTCAGCTTTCTTAATGTCAAAGCAGTTCTACAATATTTGTTCATGAATTCAACTGTGTTAAATACTTCGTTTTTAAGTACTTTGATCATCACTAATTTAGTATGGTACAAACAACCCATTTCTTATTTAACAAAATAGAATTTGCGCATACTGAATGTTTTTGTTTTAAACTAACACCATTTTAAATTATTATGCAATCAAAACAGGTAATGTCCAGCAAAAGCATCAACACCCTTTCAATGGCAAATATAATCATGTATAAAAATAACTTCAGTGTCAAAATTTGAGCAACTGAGCCAAAACATTGAAGCAATTCTTCAGCAAGCATAACTGTCATTGACAAATAATTGAAGTTACATTTCAAAATTACTTTGTGAATAACAATAATTGGACGACATGAAAAATTGGTTAGCTTTCTTTCTCTTTTGCCCTTCATCTCCCGATTGTGCCAATCCTCGATACAGTACAACAGCAAGCAGTGAATGTTAACTGCCATATCAGGGTATCAAATAAGTCCCTTCTAGTTACTAGAATAACGTACACTATGAAAACATAAACAAGAAAAGATCTCAGATTCCATAAACAAAAGAAACTGGCCAATCTTTCCATTCAAATTACATAGGACTACCCTGCAGAAACCCTTTTCCCAAATCAAAGTTAATCCAAGCTAGAGGGAATTGTTGATGACAATTTGTCAACTTACATACTCTTAACCCTTGGAGTTCATAAGTTGTATGATTAAGAACAGTTTAAATCTAGAAAGGAAAGGTATTTTAAGGATTTTTGAATGGACAAGAACTTCAGAGATCCAGGAAATAACATGAATAGAAAATTTGAAAAATAGTTTAAATTGGAGCAAAGATGAAAATAATTGCACAACTTTAAATATTTATACCAATAATGTGTTTGCTTAAAATGGGTCACAGATGCAACAACTCCCATGTTAGTTGTACCTATACATTAGAACTTACAATAGTTATAGCAATCGACACTTTCAAAATTCGAGATAAGGTTTAGATTACAGAATAAATACACAAAGGCAACTGTTGTCACTTCTGAACATTCTCTGTATTATTGACCTTGGTTAGATAGTTGTATTCAGAGT